GAGGCAGCGGATGGGACCAGCAGCATGGATGGCAGCAACAGCCTTTTCCATTCCTGGTACCTGTATGCTGGCTGGGGACCCTGTGGAACACAGCTGCGAGGCCATCCTGCTCAATAATAGCGGCCGGCCGAACTTCCGGATTTGCCGGCTCAGTTGTTCGGCACTCCACTGAACAGCTGATCGGCACGGAGAAACGGCAGGGAGTTTAAAACCTGCCTTCCCTTGCTGTCATGCCAGTGCTCATGCCAGTTTATTTACCAGGGTCGGAAGGCTGCTGCTGTGAACTGACTATGCATGCTCATTGTGCCGGATGCTGGTTAGGTGGGTGGGGATGGGGCCGGCCGAGAGGCGTCTATTTAGAGCGCTGGGAGGCTGTTGCTCCCAGCGCTGATTTTGTTTGCTGTAAGCTTGGAACTCGCATGCCAAAGCGTCTTATACAAGGGTGCGTCTTATACATGGAAAAATATGTATGGTTTTTTTCTTGCTCCACATCACTGACTGCTTGACACTAATGCTAGCTAGCTAGCTACAGTGTTAGAGTTGGCTTTAAGATCAGTATTCTTTGACTAGTGTGAATTCTAGAGCATTGTGCAAGTTTTATGTTATGTCTTGAATTAAGTTATTTTTGTAGGCAAACTTTTAACTCCGTTTTTTTCCTCTTTCTTCCCCAATTTTCATGCTCCTTTCAGCATTTGTTATTTTCTTCAAAATAATCAGAATCAAAAGAAAACTTTGATTTTAGACTCTAAATTTCACACTTATTTTGATATAAAACTTCTAAACTTCATATAAAACCTATCACCAGTGATTAGATATAAATTATAAATATATCTGAAGCATAAATGTATAGTTTAAATAACTATACTTGCATTTGTAAAACAGCACTACAGCTGTTTTCTTCCCTCTCATCTTTTTTGGATCCGATTAAACTATACTCATACTGAAATCTGAGACTGCAATCCAGTTAACTATGATGAAATCCAAACAAACTCAATATGGTTTCCTGTTTAGTAGATTTGCTTAGGATAAAGCGATAAATAATTGAAACTATATACAGAATAGTATGCTAAATAGTGATAGTACAGTATTGCAGTTTCTTCCAACAGTAGTGTTCAGAAGCTTATACTTTCCTAGTGAATATTATTAGAGATGGCTTTGCAGTTAATTAGTTAACTTCATTTGCAGCTGACTGACAAATGTAAAGTCTAAGAATTGTATTCAATTTTTATTCATCTTTGCTTTGAGCATTTTATAATTTTGCTTTGCTTTATAATGAATATTCAAGATTTTAAATAATCTTGGTTCTGCCATCCATTTTAAAAAATAATCCCAATCCCACTTTGCGGTAACACCTGTATTGTGAAACTCTTTTCGTCCATGTTTCCTCTTTTGTGGTATTTCACTTTAAGGCAGTGACAATCTTCACGTTTTGTTTTGTTACAGTTGATTTTTCTCCAATACCTCTGCTTAATCTTTGCAGTTGCATTGGGCAGCTCCTTGCATGTTTGTATTTGTATTCTGAACCTCTGTCAGTTGACTGAAGTGCAATGGTGATATGCAGTCTTGTAATGAATGTTTTCAGGATTTTTGCATTTGAAGAGCCAACTCTACATTAACTTACGGTAACTAATCAGCAATTCCTGCAGGGGCAGAAGACAAAAACAATTGCTACTGTGACACTGGCTTTCTCTGAGCAATTGGGAATTAAATCCAAAGTGCTGTCATGTGAAGGGATTTTGGGATGTGTTCATAGTAGACTATACAATATAATTTTAGATATAAATAATAATGACATCTCCAAGTTCTTGCTATGGAGAAAAAACTTATACAAAGACATTATCTGATTATAATATTTGCTGCAGATGGAGAGAAATTCTCAACAAACCGAAGAATTCTGTTCAACAAAACATACAAAAACACGCTTATGTCCAGTGGTACATTTCCTGAATAAAATGTTACTGCTCTAATTTAATCCAGAAGCTAAAACATTTATATTTTATATTTATATATTATATATTATTATATATTTCTTATTCTTTAATTATACTTTCTTCAACTCTCCTGACCATCTGAATGCCAAAATAGAATACAAGAAATACAGTTATATTTTTTAAACTTTCCTGGCCATCTGAATGCCAAAACAGAATACAATTTCTTGCTTTATACAATAATATTTTATCATTTTTTAAATGTTTCTAGTCCAAGATCTATGTGAGACTGAAAAGCATGAATGTGAGCACATATGTGTGAATACACCTGGATCCTATGTCTGCCAATGTTATGATGGCTATGAGCTTGAAGAAGATGGGAAGAATTGTTTCAGTATGTATTTGTTTTCAATTGTACTAATTCACAAAATAGCTGATGATTTCTGTTATTGCTCCAATATAATCCTGTATCATTTGAATTATTTTCTGTATTCAAAGATTTCTGGTGAGAAAGTTGACTTCTTGCTTTACAATAGTAGGTTCTTTGTATTATATAAAAAGTTTATATGATGTGAATTGGACGTTTCCTCAGTTTCAGAATAGCTTAAAATTAAGGTGACCAACTTTTTTACAATGAAAAGGAGGACACAAATAAATTGAAGGAAAAAATATCATAAATAAAAGAAACATTTTATTCATTGCAACAATAATACAGACAACTTGCATGTGCAAAGTTTGCCAGCTGGGTGTTTTGGTGCGCTCAGCAGCAATTCCTATTGGCTTTTGAAAGCCAATAGCGGGAGTAGCATAGCTCATGCAAATGTTGAAAAAAAAACCATCAAAAAAAGGTGCCGGAACGCCGTTCTGAGCATTCTATGAGGGAAAAAAAAGCCCTGCAGATTAGTCAAATATCGAAAAGGAGGACATGTAGGAGGACACTTTTTGAGGGAGGACAGAACTTACAAAAGGAGGACTGTCCTCCCTAAAGGAGGACGGTTGGTCACCTTATTAAAATGGAATAGCACAGTTCAGAGAACGAAAAAGAACAAGACAAGGATGATTGTTTAACTTCTACAATGAATATTTATAAGAATGTCAGGATTGGAAGAGATGATACTAGGAATCAAAATAGGAAGCTAAAATAATAGAGATATGCCAATCCTATCTCTTCCCTCATGTCCTCTATGCACAGTTTTGTCCTTCCTTTTTTCTTCTTTATCTTTCTTTTGACTCATTTCCTTATTCTTTTTTTCTGCCGTTTCTGGAAAGAGAGTTGCAGGAAGGAGAGAGAGAATGGATATATTCATCTATACTTGTGTGTTGTACTTATTCATTCAGTGAATATATTTTTGCCCCACCCTGCTCTTTTTAAGAGTGTGGTTTCTGGAAGGTATAATACACACATGCATATATGCACATACTGTATAATATGATGTATACATACATTTATTGAGGAGGGAAAAAACTCTCCATTTTTCTGACTCTGTAATCCCTTAATTCAGGGTAGAATCGGCATGACTGGTTGGAGTTCAGCATTTACTGGCCAGATAGCAATATCAATATCACTTAGACTTACATACCGCTTCACAGTGCTTTACAGCCCTCTCTAAGCTGTTTAAAGAGTCAGCATATTGCCCTCAACAATCTGGGTTCCTCATTTTACCTTCCTGACACCACGCAGAGTTCGCAACAGATAGGAGAGAAACACTGACATTGAACTCTCAACCTTCCAAGTGTTAGGCAAGCATCTTCACCACTAAGCCATCATGCCACTCAATTTATTGAAGAGGGAAAAACCTCCAAGAATTATTGCATCAGGAGCTGGCAACTTCATAGTATGAAGTAAGGCACTGCAAAGGACTTTTTTTTCTTAATTATAATTAACCTCTTTCTCTATTCTTCCTATATTGTTGTTATTAATTGCTGGCTTGGACGCAGAAATAATGATATATTTTCTATTAAATAAATCTGTATAATATGAAATACACAGATTTGTTTAAAAATTGCAATACAACTTACTGTTCGTATTATTTCAGAATTATTTCTGTGATATATGCTTTCCTGTTGATTGGAGCTTTATTACTGAAACTAATCATCATCTCCTAAAATGTGGTAATAATTATAATAGATTTGTGTTAATATTGCATCTCATGAGGCAATTGAAAATGAATGTTATTTAAGAGAAATTTGATTTGATTGGAATTTCCAGAAAATAATCCACATTTCTTATGCCTGGGTATAACACGCAGGCTTGACATAACAAAATGATGAAAAGCTTCCAAATATTGTTCAGTATCGACTGCTTTCATGTCAGAAGCACCGAAGCACTTCTGGATTGAAAGGATTAAATGGTGACATAACTGTTGCCCAGTGGATGCCCAGTTGAGGGCTCCTTTCATGCCCCCGTTAATCGCTCACCAAAATGGTACCTATTTTTCTATTCATGGTGACCTTTTTGAACTGCTAGGTGGGCAGGAGCTGGAGCGAATGAGAGCTCACCCCATCACACAGCAGCACTCAAACCTCGAACGCAGGCTTCCAGTGTTTTAACTACTTGAGCCATCACACTCTGTACTGTACATTGTTTTGTGAAATGATGTGGGGAACTTTAATACTTAACTCTATTTTCTCTGTAGTGTCATATTCTTATTTGTTTGGAATGAGTAATTTCAGTTCCATTAATTTCAATAAGATTATTTTAAATCAAAGTTCATACCACACAATATAGATTTCCAGTAGTGAACTTATCTATGGCTCCATTTTTTAATTGTTGCATGTATCTATTTAATAGAAGTAGTAGTCTTATTGGGTTGTATAGACTTCAAACATACGCTTAGTTTTATTTTAGTTACAACAGCTGATTTATAACAATCCATTGTAGATTGTTAATGTGATAAGACTATAGTTTTGATTGAAGAGTTGCATTTACCTGAGTATGTTTTGGAATAGGCTGTTTCAAATCTTAATAAACACAATAATATAGGAATAAGAATATATTGTGCCACTGAAATTTATGTAGAACTCAGCTGATATGTCAGCAGTAGGTGAAGAACTAGGTACTATCAACATTATATACATTTCATTTTAAAGTTCTGTATCAAAGTAACTTGTCTTAAATCTGATCTTGCTTGTGTTTCAGTTGTGGACTATTGTGCTCTGAATAACCAAGGCTGTCAACATGAGTGTATCAATACTGAAGATTCTTATTATTGTCAGTGCCATAAGGGGTTCGTTCTAAATCCAGATAAAAAAACTTGCAAACGTAAGTTATCTACATCTCAATTCTGCTATTTAATACTTCAAAGGTTATATGTACCATCTTGCATACAAAGCAAGGAGATTATTCAGTATTTCCTTTGCATTCAGAAAATTCATCCCATAACATCTCTAACAGAAAGAATTTCAGATGCCCGTTCATAGGATTAGGAATTAACTGAGAATTTCTAATTCTCAGTTAATTTAGCAACAAGGAAAAAAATCAGGTGTCCAAAACAGATGTATAGAGCAATGCTCATCAAGAGAACAAAGATTGATACTCCTGACACTAAGGAGTATACTCCACAGGATAAACCTCAGGAGGATATGCCCAAGTGTCAGGAGATTAATAATCCTGAGTCCTGAGAGGCTATGAGAGTAATGCCAGCAACTGGATGGACACAGGCATCCCAGTAGCAGACCTAAGCAACTAATAAGACCTGGGAAGATCCCTAACCCAAAACATTCATCTCCAGACTTCTCATTAAGGTGTTGTAGATTATTCGTACAGTAAAACTTGTATCAGAAAAAAAAGGAAATGGCCATTTTAGTTTTGGAGGCTGAAGTTGTGAGTGCATGTTCCTGACAGTGAGAATTTAACTTGAGCAAATATTAAAGAAGTTTTATACATGTAACAGAAAGGAGACTTAATTATAGAGAAAAAATGTATAGGGATAGGAAAATACGTAATATCAACTAGTAACATCCTATCAGAAGGAGATTCAAAGAGTGTATGCTGCCTTGAGGAAAAGACAAAAAGGTCTGCTTTGACCCAAGATCTCTTAGACAAAGAGCAGACATTCGAGTGATGGTCAATGAGATGACATGCAGTAAATCCATAACCCCGTATCTACATTATTTTACATTGCGATCAATACACCATGAAATGCTGGAGAGTTAGTGTTTGAATTAGACACCCCTTAAAAATGTTGAGGTATCTTTATGCCATGGTTGGAGTATGTGGCAGGAGAGGGGAAAATGAAACAACGCATTCCTATGTTTCTAGAAATGCCTATAAATTTTGTATTGTGTAATATTTATATGAAGAAAATGCTCTACTTCCAAATCTCCAAAGATAAAAAGTGCTCACTCAAACTGAGGTGCTAATCTTCATTCCATTCTGTATTTGTACTTTCCACTACTGTTCTTCTAAGAATTTATTCTCAATCTTCAGGGCCAAACCATTGTGCTTTGCAAAATCATGGCTGTCAGCAGGAATGTGTCAGTACAGATGAATCCTACTTTTGCCAATGCAAGCAAGGATTTACTCTTAATCCGGATAAGAGAACTTGCAAAAGTATGTTGCCCTAAAGTGTATAGTAAGTTCACCTGCTTTTATTTATCAACATTGCTGTTATAATTTATAATCTCTTTTCAATTATAACTTTAGAACATGCCTATGAAAATTCCTCCTTCCTATGTTTCTTTATAATGCTCAGTTTAAATGGTCATTCCTGTGTACAGACAACTGTTTATTCATTCAAGTACATATTTATATACTCCCATTTCTCTTGGAATTCTACCCAAGCCCTAAACTAAACACTTTTTTTTTTGGGGGGGGGGGGAATGTGATAGCCAAGGTCTGGATGATTAGAACAGATTTTATATTTCTTAAATAGGAAACTAATGCAATACATGTAAATAAAGCAGATTACCAGAAATGTCACAGACTTAAATTTTAAATAAATTGAAAACTCTAGCAGGGTGATGGGAACTGGGGACTTAAGACTATCTGTGACCCTCAGCCTAATTTCATAGCCAATTAAACCTCTCAGAAGAATTAACTATTCATTGCTTGCCTATTTGCTTTTTAGAGGAAGAGAATTGAATATCAAAAAGAACTCAAATGAGATAAAAATAAGGATATGAGGAAGAAAGAAAGATTAAGGCCCACTTATGATTTGCTATAGACCTGCTCGTCATTTAAATGTTGTTTGAAGCAGATTACTCCTGAGTAAGTGCTCTCAATAGAAAAAGAATCTCTGCCCTTTTCTGTACCATAATAAAAGTGTTCCAAATTAAAAATTTGTTTCAATGTTGAATGGACACAGGAAGCATATAATCTGTCTAATATTTTATACCCAAATATTTTCATAATCTATCTTAATTTTTCAAAAAAAAGTGTCCCAGAAATTTCACTGTTATAATGCTCTTCAACATCTTCATCAATGATCTGGACGAGGGGATAGATGGGGAACTCATCAAATTTGCGGATGACACCAAGCTGGCAGGAATAGCCAACACTCCAGAAGACAGGCTTAGGATACAGGAGGATCTGGACAGACTTGAACACTGGGCGCTATCTAACAAAATAAAATTCAATGGTGAAAAAGTAAGGTTCTACATTTAGGCAAGAAAAACCAAATGTACAGGTATAGTATAGGGGGTACCTTGCTCAATAGTAGTAACTGTGAGAGGGATCTCGGAGTCCTAGTGGACAATCATTTAAATATGAGCCAGCAGTGTGCTGCAGCTGCCAAAAAAGCCAACACAGTGCAGAGGAATAGAATCAAGATCACATGAAGTATTAATACCACTTTACAATGCCTTGGTAAGGCCACACTTGGAATACTGCATCCAGTTTTGGTCACCACGATGTAAAAAAGATGTTGAGACTCTAGAAAGAGTACAGAGAAGAGCAACAAAGATGATTAGGGGACTGGAGGCTAAAACATATAAGGAACGGTTGCTGGAA